GTTACCTTCGCTTAAAGACACGGAACTTTTTATTATTAATATGTTGCCAAAATTTATTAAAAATTCAGCGCAGGAAACGTAATCGGACGAGGATATCTCTTCGGGATACTTTAATTTGATGCTGCTTATCTTATAGTATAACTCATCTAAACAGTTTGGTATTAAAATCTTAACAGCATTGATCCAAAGCAACTGGAAAGGAAGGGTACACTTATATGTTTTGACATGCTTATGACCGGCAATTTTGAGGAAGTTCCGCATAGTAACTTTCTTTGGTTTTGGAACAAAGCTTACTTTTAGCTTGATCGATATTTGTTAAATTGACGTACACAAGTATTCAAGGTAATATTTGAAGCCTATTAAGGACGGATTCTGCAGCTGCAATGTGAAATATAAATCCTTTAGGTCTCCAATGTTTTGTTCACTTGTATGTACTTTTTGGCTTTAAGGTAAAGTTAGGTGGGGCGATCAGAACCTGTGTCATTCATTTCGACGAATATATTGATATGCCATTTAAATTAAATTTATTTTCGATTGTGATACTAAGTGGAATCCCAAGCAAGAACCTCATGTGCCTTCTCTTGCCTGATGCGCCATTGCCATACTGGCGAGCCAGCTTTCATTCATATATTCAAATTACTTATGCGACAGGTTTTCTCAAATTCATTCTCGCATTACAAGCCACGAAGGCCTCTGCAAAACATCGTATTTCTTGAAATCTAATCCTTGGATGTTTATTCCCCATTATGCTTCTTTTGATAAAATAAAATTTTCCTTTGCTAATCAGTTGATAATATATGCACTAAAAGTTTACAGAGGTTGCATTTTTCGTTCTTGTTCGATTTCATACGGCTGAGATGCAGGTGAGCGTATTCATCATATTTCGTGAAGGCAATGAAGGGTCGGTATTTGAGTTATCACGCAATGAAATGAGCAGACCTTACATTTCCATTGAATCTCACATGACCTTGCTTTCCGAAAGGTCCTTTGGTGGTGCTTAGGAGACCTAGGTGAGATCTAAACTGTAGTCTACCATGCATGAGAATTCCTTTCGGAAAGCAAGGCTATGCGTATTTAAATGGAAGCGTAAGGTCTATTTATCACTATGAGAAAACTCAATGACCAGTCCCTCATCACCTTAACGAAATAGAGTGAATTCATCTCATATATATGAAATACTGGTACTTTTGGAAACCCACTATTAAACTAAAAGTAGGCTAAGACAATTTTGAAGAAATTAGCAATTTATTTAGTTTCCTTAGGAGTCTTTATGCATAAAATGAAGTATACAAATTCAAGTAGCATGCCAATCATCTTGCTCACTCAATAATTGGATTGAACTTTATGCAGGATTTAGGACCCCCCATTCACAGGTAAGGTTATTTTTTAAGAAGTTTGGCAAATGGTT